GAATAAAATATGGTGACTCACACACTTCCTGATTTTAAACAATGCAGTATTCCCTTGTTCTGTTTGCACAACTGTCTCTCGACACATATACTAGTTCCTCATGATCAAACGGAAGTGCTCTGAAATTCCCTTTTTTTCTTCAAGGTTATCCACAGTTTATTAAGGCCTACACAGTAAAATGCCTTTGCATAGTCCATAAAACACAAGAACACCTTTCTGGTATTCTCTGCTTTGAGCCAATATATATCTGACCTCAGCATTCTATCCCTTGTCCCATGTCCTCTTCTGAATCAGGCCCTGAACTTCTGGAAGCTCCTCCTTGTCAATGCTGCAACCATTGTTGGATGATCTAAAGCAAATTTTAGTTGGGTGTGATTTCAATGATATTGCTGTATAGTTTGAGCATTCTGCTGGGTCCCCTTTATTTGAAATGAGCAGAAATATGGATCACTTCCAGTCAGTTGGCCAAGTAGCTTTTCTTCCAAATTTTGTGGCATAGGCGGAGTGAGTGCTTTCAGGGTCTTTTCAGTTTGCTGAAACATGTCAATTTCTATTCCATCAATTCCTGGGTCCTTGTGTTGGAGAATGCTTTCAATGCAGTTTGAACTTCTTCCTTCAGCAAGATTGGCTCTCGCTCATAGGCTACCTCCTGAAATGATCGGCTGTCAACTAGTTCTTTTTGGTATAGTGACTCTGTGTATCTTTTTCATCTTCTCTTGTTTCTTGATGTTTCCTGCATCATTCAGTATTTTGTCTTGAGCATCTCTTAAGATTGCATCTTGACACTTCTTTTTTTTTCTTCATGAGTTTTTTTTCCATTTCAGATATGCTAAGTGTGTGATTCCCTTTCGGTTTTCTAATTTTAGGTGTTCACACTTTTTGTTATAATATTTGTCTTTTCTTCTAGAGCTGCTCTTTGAAAATTTCTACACAGCTCCTGGACTTCATTCTGCCCACCCCCCATTTGCTTTAGCTTCTCTACAATTAAGAGCAAGTGTCAGAGTCTCATCTGACATCTACTTTGATATTTTCCTTCTTTTCTGTCTTTATGACATTTGGCTTTCTTCATGAATGATGATCTTGATGTCCGCCCACAGCTTTTCAGGTCTTCAGTCATTAGTTTTCAATGTGTCAAATCTCTTCTGATGTTCAACTCAGGGGGGAAAGACTCAAAGTCTTATTTTGGCTTTTTGAATTTTCTTCAGCTTTAATTTGAACTTTTATATGAGCAATTGATGGACTTTTCCTCAGCTCTTCTTTTTTTTTTTTTTTTTTAAATGGGAGGAGGAGAGGGCAGGAGAATGAGGGGAGAGGGAAGGAGGACTGCAGGAGAGGAGACCGGAGGAGCCCAAAGCTGTTTTCTGGACTGGCTTTAGCTGCTAATGTTGAGCTTTTCCATTATGTCTTCCCACAGATGGAGTCAATCTGGTTCTGTGTATTCTATCTGGGGAAGTCAATGTATATAGTTACCTCTCATGTTGTTGAAAAAGGTATTTGCTGTCAATAAGTCATTGGTTGTGTTAGGCCAGGTTGCCTAGAGAAACAAATCCAGAGACACCCATATGTGTGGAAGATAGGTATTTTTTATCAAAGAACAATTGTATATTGAGAAAAAATCCCAGCCCTGTTCAGATCAAATCCATAAGTCCATATCAATCCATATGTCCTAAACTAGTCCATACATTCATCTTTAGACTCAGGCAGCACATGCAATGATGCTGAATTCAGGAACATCACAGGATGGTGGGGGAAAATCCAATGGCTGTGAATGCATCTCCAGGGCTCTGGCTGCCATCATCATGGCTCCATGTAACTTGCCAACAGGAATATGTAAGAAAGAGAGAGAGAGAGAGAGGCCCGCCTCTTCTGATGGCAGAATCAAGAGACAGGAAGTTCCCAGGATCCTCATGAGAAGGTCATGCCCACACAGAGGCATCATTGACTATGACCTGACTGACAGACTAGGCTCCGCCCCTTCACTCATAATACCCTCAAGTTGACACGAGGTTAAGTAACTATCACATTGGTTTTGCAAATTCTGTCATGCGATCCACAGCTTCCTTCCTATCACCAAGTCCATCTTTTCAAACAACTGCTCCTTTTTCTTTGTTTCCAACTTTTGCATTCCAATCACCAATAACTATCAGTCCATCTTGATTGAATGCATCCAACTCAAGTCATTAGTAGACATCTTCAATTTCTCCATCACCAGCTTTTGTGGTTGGTGCAACAGTTTGAATGATAGTTGTATTCATTGGATTTACTCAAAGGTGGATAGATAAGATCTTATCACAAACAGCATTGTACTTCTTGATGGATTGAGCAAGATCCTTTCTGACAATGGATTGCTTGTAACGGGTTATTTCTGGCTAGTAATTCATATTATTTCTGATTCAAAATGGCTAATACCAGTCCGTCTCAGTTCACTAATGCCTAGAATATAGATCTTCATACATTTCAATTTTAACCACTTCCAATTTGTCTCAATTCAGACTTTGCGCACGACAAGTTCCACTCATTAGAAGAGTTTTGCAGCTGTTTCTATTTACCCATTCTAGACAATATTCCCTACCAGTCCGTAAGGGTGTCAGTGACTAAGCCCTCAGAAGTGGACAGATGAGTTCTCGTTCCTAACCTGTAAGCTTTGTGGAAAACTATTCATCTTGAGTGACCCTGATGGTTTTGGCAACTGACAGTGGCATTGAAATGTAGCATCAGTAATAATTATATAGAAAGTATGCCAAGACATTATCTAAGTTATATCCAGATATCCCTTCTTCTAATATCTGTTATAAGATTCATACTTTTTATATCAATAATCATCTCTTCTGAAAAGTGTGCTCCACCTGACTTCCCATCCTGTAGAGTAAAGTGGGTCTGGCTTGCAGCTGAATGCATAGAATAATGATATCCATCTCCCAGAAATGGATGAACACTAAGAAATAACTCTACTCAGCAGTGGTTCTTAAAACAGTGGTAAGGGGTGAAGAAAACCTTATGAATGGACAGAATTTTGAGCCAAATATCTTATTGCTCATTTTATTTGGTAGGAAATATGAGTGGAGGGTACTAATCTTTGGCTGTGATTCATAGATAGTTTTAATGAGTGAGACTGGTTAAAAACAGTGTTGAGTTTCCATTATCTTTAATAGGGTAATTTGGATTTTATTCCTGGTTTCTGAGAGATAACTCTAAACTCTCAGAATTTCCTGAATAATTCAGGTACCTTTATCAGTAGGTTTCTAAATTAGACCTCATACCCTATGCTAATGAGTTATCAAGAGGCCAGAAAGAACACCTCCTGATATCTACTGTCTTCAGGTGAAGTTAGTTGATTCAATCAATCATGTCTACATAATGAAACCCTAAAAAAACTGATTATCCTCTTATTATAATTAAAATTTCCCATGCGTATTCATGGGCTGATTAATTCACACATTTTAGAAGTGTTTTTTTTTATTCTAAAGTTGAATTGTTGATACAAATGATAAATATGGAAAGAACTGTTGTCTATAATATTTTAAAATTCCAAAGAAACAGAAACCAGATATATGTGTATATATATATATATATATATATACAACAAGTATAAACTGGAGTTGAATTTATAAACCTTAAGTGCTACATACATTTTTATTTTCATCATTCTTAAATATGCATCCATTTTTAGTGATACATACCTGTATATTAGCCTACAACTTTTTAATGAATAAATGGTAGATAATAGGTATCCCAGTATGCAATCATTAGAGAAAAGAGGTACTACTTGGTTAACATACTATTTTTACATAATAATCTATTTACAGAATTTCTAGTTTTAAGTGAGGGAAATGGCAGAATATTTTATGAAATTTCTACTATATATTCTATAGCTAATATGACGGAGAAAGCTAAGAAAAAATATTTAAATATCTTAACAATATTATTTATTTCATATTCATAGAATTAATTAAAATTTCTTCTAAGTAAACTTTCAAATATTTGTCATTTATTCTCTCCGTGTTCTAGCTCTACTACATAATTAGTCTGCTCCAACCCACATATTAAGGCAAAACATATAATTTGTGGTGCTGATAGGAACGATCAGCTCAATGCAAGGGCAGTGTCCACAGACAGCCAGTCAGCAATGTTCCAGACCATTGGTCCTTCCAGGAGGACACATGCGAAAGGAGAACAGGTTATGTAACATCATATTTTATTATCAATCGTGTCTTCACAGAAAGTTAGATGCAGAAATGAATTAATGTGCTCTAATAAAAACTCCTTCTTGCTTCTACATATAATCAGATTGACATTTATAAAACATAGAAAAATAAAATGGCATCTACTCAACGGTAGTGAGGTTTTTTGGGGGTTTGTGTGTGTGTGTGTGAGTATTCCTTAGTTTGACCAAATTTTATTTTCCATCCTAAACCATTTCAAAAGTACATCAATACTGCCCAAAAGATAAAAATAGCTCATTAATCTTTACTCTAATTATGATTTACTCTAGGTTCATTATAATTTCATTAATATGGAATACATTAACATCACAATGACAACCAGGATTGCTGTTGATGTAATTTACAGCCTGTGCTTTAAGCTTTTAGGCTTTTCCTTTGGGTTATCCTGATATCATGGAGAAAGTGCTGTGAAATAGGCCACAGTCCTGATTAGCTCTGTTTTGAATTATATTTTGGTGACATAATTGGGATTACTTGCTTTTATTTCTTTTTTTTTTCCTGAGCAGTATTTTATTGATTTTTAAATTTTCTAAGTTTTATTGGCATGTAATTCACATACCATACAATCCAATAGTTCAATCGGAAGTAACTACTTTTAAAAAATTATGCTAAAAATTCTATTTTTAAAGGGGAAAAAGAAGCTTTATTTGTTATTGTAGAGATCTTTTCATTCACTCCACCGAGAGATCATTTCACCCACTGCTCTGTCTGGCAGCCAGTCTCTTGTCTCTCTCTCCAGCAATGGTGAGGCGGATACCGTTCCCTCATACCGTTCCTTCAGGGAAGAGAAATCCAGGGTTTCTTGCCTTTTCCAATAACGAAAATGTTGGAAAGCCAGGTGGCAAAGCTATTGCCATTGGCATCTTTCACATGAACCACATCAAAAGAGCCAGGGTGCTTCTCTCTATTAGTGATCACACCAGTAATCTTTCCAGTTTCCAAATCAATCTGAACGGTGTCATTCACCTTGATGAGAGGATCGGGATAGCTGATGGTGCGAGCATCGTGTGTCACCAGGTGAGGGAGTCCTTTTGTGCCCACAAACATCTTTCTTACTTTGCACAACTTGTACTTCGCCTCCTCAGGTTTAATACGATGACTAGCAAAGCGACCCTTGGTGTCATAGATCAGAGGGAAATTCTCTCCGGTCTTGTCATTGGCGATGACATCCCTAAAGCCAGCAGGATAGGTTATATCAGTTCGGACCTTGCCATCAATCTTAATGAACCGCTGCATGCAAATTTTCTTAACTTCATCTCCAGTCAGAGCATACTTAAGTCTATTTCTTAAGAAAATGATCAGTGGGAGACATTCTCTCAGCTTGTGGGGACCAGTGGATGGACGAGGAGCAAGTACACCAGTGAGTCTGTCCAGCATCCAATGATTTGGAGCAGCTCCGCGCTTCAGGTGCTTCTTGGGTCCACAAGCCATGGCAGCAGCGGCAGAGTAGTGAATTCCCGCGGCAGAGAAGCGTACTCCCTGACGGCAAGACCGGAACAGTTCATTTCTAATTTTGATCTAAGGGCAGCTTTCCTCCTAAACCTATAGAAAAGCTCTCTAAATTACTCCTCATGCCATTTATTTCTCAGCTTTTCTCCATGGTCATTGAGTAAGATATATCTTAGTACAAGGAAAAAATGTTTTAATCATTTGGCTTTCCTGTAAAAATTTATTAATTTTTAAATAAAATATGCATCATTTATTTCTCCTAAAACACTTTCGGTTGTACGTAAAATGGGCATGATAAATTTTCTTGCAATACACAAAAATGTACACATTTTTCAAAAGAAGGAATAGATTTCTTTTTTTCATGTTTTGTCTTCTTTATTTTATCTCTTCTCTGTTTGCCTTGTTCCACTGAGCAGAGGAATTTTGATGGTGAAAGGGTCATGCATTGGGTCGCAGTACACATGGCAGGCAGTTCAAAACAAGCAGTGGCTCTGTGGAGAAAGACAGCATCTCAGCAACCCAGAGGGGGGTTGCTATGACTCTGTGTGTGTGTGTGTGTGTGTGTGTGTGTGTTCCAACCAGCAGGAGACAGTAAAAATGCCCACAGGGCACGGCCACACTCCTATGTCCTATAGCTCCACCCAATTCATACACAAGTGCTTATTCAGCACTTGATCCGTGATCTACTGTAGCCACAGCCCCACACACATCACCATCAGCTGTTGCACATGAACCGAGAACATACAACTGCTCACACACTGGAATCTTTATCACACCCACCAGCACCCTAAGAATACACCAACATGCAATGATCAATTAAACACAAAGACAATGGCTAATATTTAAAGACTGATTTACGAATGTTGTTATTTCAAGGGGGAAAAAAAGTGAAACATTTAGAATTATTTTCAATAATGTGCCCCTGAACTTATTCTTTTTTTTTTTATTCCTAAGGACATTTTTTAGGGGGGGGGTGGGCTCTTAAAAATCTTACAACAATCCATGCATCAATTGTATCAAGGATATTTGTACATATGTTGCCATCATCATTTTCTAAGCATTTAGTTTCTCTTTGAACCCTTGGTATCAGCTCCTCTGTTTTCCCCTCTTTCCACTAGTCTCCCACCCTTGTGACCCCTTGATAAATTATAAATTATTATTATTTTCATATCTTACACTGACCACTGTCTCCCTTCACCCACGTTTCTGTTGTTCATCCCCCTGGGTGGAGGTGGGTAGGTGATATTCGTCCATCATTGTGATTGGTTTCCCCTTCCTCCCTCATCCCCCTACCTTCCTCCTACCTTCTTGATATTGCTAATCCCATTTCTGTTACTGAGGGGCTTTATCGGATCTGAATTCCATGTGTTTTGAAGGCTTACTTTCACCAGTGCACATGCTCCAGTCTAGCCAGACTGAAAGGCAGGACTGGGGTCATGATAGTACTGGAGGGTGAGGAAGCCTCAAAGAAGCAAAGGAATGTTATGTGTTTCATTGGTGCTATTCTGCACCCCAGTTAATTCATTCCCTTCCTTATGACCCTTCCATGAAGGAATGTCCTGTTGTCTACAGATGGGTTTAGGGTCTCTGCTCTGAACCTCCTCTTTCTTAAAAAATATGTTTCTTTTTGTTTTGGGTCTTCTGATGCCTGTTACCTGAGCCAGTTGACACCTCATGATCACACAGGCTGGTGTGCTTCTTCTATGTGGGCTTGTTTCTTCTCTGCTAGATATCCATTTGTTTAACTTCGAGCCAAGTCAAGACCGCAGACACTATATCTTTTGATAGTGTCATGAGCGGCGCAATCAATAATTACTTAACGCTCTTAGACATTTTCGAATGCTCGGTTTATTCATTGCAAACACACATCAAACAATCTAAAATATTATTCAAACTATTAAGGGCAAACAACTATAAGTATAAGGGCAGAGTAACAACTATGAGCATAAAGGCATAATAATAACACTTCTCACACATTTCATATTAGCACCATAGTCCCAATCAGCATTGCCTCATCGGTGTACCCACCCCAGGTAGAGTTGGAGAGAGCAGGAGTTGATGTCTCCTTGGTTCCTAGCTCTCTGAAGGTCAGTGTCTCTGCCTGGGTTTAAATGGACATCTTGGCCAGTTCTTTGACGTTTTCACTGTCCCAGTCAAGTCTTATCAGGTTTCTCCAGGCTTTAGGTGGCTTGGCTAGATTTTGGGCTTCGGTCGGGTCTCAGCTCGGTCTTATCAGGTCTCTCCAGGCTTTTAGAGGATTCGGCTAGCTTTTGGGCGTTGGTCAGGTTTCAGCTCAGTCTTATCAGGGGTCTCACATTTTTGTGGTGGCTCCTTTGATGTAAGTGTTGGCCTGGGTCCCAATATTAAATTTTATATGTGTATATATATATATTTTAAGTGGAGTTTCTTGTGCTTATTTATTTGATATGGTTCCACATTTTACAAAGTAGTTAAATGTCTTGTAAGGTAGTTCAACGTCTTGCAAGGAAGTTCAATGTCTTGCAAGGAAGTTCAGCGTCTTGTAAGGAAGTTTATGGTGCTCTCATCAGATAACCAGGCCCCATCAGCTTTCTTCACCTATTTTAAAAACCTTCTTATGACGGTCTTTGGAAAAATGTTTAAACACTGTTGTTTAAAGTGTTTAAACATTGATATTTACTTCTCACTCAAGGAGCTTCAATAGAAGTTTCTTTCCCAAAGTTTGGTTGTGTTGAATAGAAAAATTCCACACAAATATTACGAAGAAATTGTGAAAAATCTAAACGAAGAAGGCTTTATTTTTTTATTGTTATTGCATTTTTGCATTCAAATCAGCCAATAAAATATGTGAGAGCATGACAAATCGAGTTAGCAAGTGAACTCTGGGAGAAGTCTCCCAAGTCATGTCCATTATTCTAAACCCTTCACCTTCGAACACCCTGGGAATATAAGGTCCAGGCCTGGTACCAGTGGCGTTATTCAGCCAGTTTGCATTGGTTCGGCAGAACCCATACCTAATTTTTTTGTTTTGTTCCAGGACCTGGTTGTTTTTAAAGCACTTGAAATCAGGATTATCTCTAAGGTGGGTGGCTGAGTAGCAGTCAAATATGGAAATCACAAATTTACATGCTTTACTGTTTTTAATGTTCAGCGGAGCACCAGTATTCTAAACACTATGAACATAGTTCATTCATTCATAGGTATAAAAGTAGAGTGAACTATGATTATAATATTTATCCATACATTTCATAAAACCCACTATATATTTTTGATGCAATATTACATTTTTATTTCCTTGTATGTGTTACTTCAATCATCAAACATATAATGTAAAGAGAAAAAGTCCCTAACAACCAAATGGTGAAATGCTGCTATTCATTTGAACTTTGTGTTATGCCCCAATTTAACCATGGGATATTATGAGTGACTTATTCAATTACTGAATATGTTCAAAAAATGAAAAATATTTCTAGAACAATTTCTGTAAGTTCAGCAGAAGTGAGAAAAGGATTTTCAAAGATGAACATAATATGTTCAAAGAAGAGAAGTCACCTGTTTCTCATACATCAAACACAATAACTATAGTCTATTTGGCCTTCTTCAAAAGGAATGAGATCTTACTCCAAATCACACAGCTGATAGTGTTTGGATGAAAGTGAAGAATATTATAAGTGAGGACACCAATCAAGAAGCAATATAAAAATATTTTAAATAATAATTGTGGGGGACCAGCTGCCCTACAACTGAAAAGGTCCAAGGAGTGGTTGTGTAAATGAGGGGGGAATTAAAGAGACATCAGACATGATAAACATGCAAGGGCTCACCTCTCAGTCAGGACTTCAGGAGCCAGGTCCAAGCAATGAGAGCGAGTAATGTAATCTCATGAGTTTATATAAGATGGGGTTCGCAGGCCATGACGAGCACATGCATAACAGGGAGCTGTTGCAAAATAGGCATACACACACAGGAGGAGGACAAGCTAGGGGGTATAGATGCAATAGAAGGTACAAGAGGCATACATGTGGCAGGAAGGCACAAATGTAAAAGATGGTTGAGCTCTAGAATCAAGATGGCAGCCTAACCTTGGTCATGTGAGTTGGTTTAACCTTAAGGGTCTTTGTGCTCTCCATCAGGGGAGCAATCCATGGAGTGGGGTCTACTTAAATGACTGACAAACTTCATGCAGATAACCTTCAAGCAGTTGAACTCCAAGTGTATAGTCAGTGATCATTTGTTTGAAAACAGCACATTAGATTTGGCATTATTATGGGGTGGGGGGGCTTCATGGGGAATAATTTTTAGTTAGGAGAATGTGAGTGGGACCCATCTCCAACCTGCAAATGTCAAGATTTCCTCTGTGGGATCCTCGGTCTCCAAGACTCCTTAATGTATGAACGTTGATAGATTGTCCTCATATACTCTCTTCTCGATTAACATTTTCAATTAGTATTTTAAAACTCTTTCTTATAATCTAGTTTTTTTAATATCTTTTATTGTTGTTATTTAAGTATTAATATATGAAATAATAAACTAACTTTATGTATAATATTTTTTATACTTAAAATGGTCATGAAGGCAATGAACTAGTTGTTAAATTATATGAATTCCACCACTGGCTGCGACCCTAAAGGACATTCTACCTTCCTGGTTGGGTGAGTATACCTATGAATTTTTGAAAGGTTTACAAAAAATATGATAAAGCAAGGATAAATAAATCGACCTCATATTGATTTTTATTTGCTTAACATATGCTAATGCATAACAAAATTTGTTATCATTGCACTATTTTGGCTATGCTTTGCTTACATTTAAGATGATTCCAATTTAAAGAAAATTTGACTGATAACTTTCATGAAGTCTATTTATTTGACTTTCAAGATTGGTGGATGTCTTGATAAAGAAGCTGTTTGTCACCTGTCAAGTATGTCCTATGAAAGCAGGAACCGCATTTCCCACTCTCATCCTGTTTTAATAAGGATTTTTCATCTAGAGAGCAAAATGTA